AAGATAACTCCCTTCCCATTCTCAAGGGTATACAGGATTCTGGTAATAGAAGATAGAAGAGAAATGAAAAAGACACTCAGTAGAGAAAACTCATGCAGTTTAACAAAGACTAAACATTCAAGTATATTCTGTAAATTAATTACAAAACCTGATTACAAACTAAATTACCATTCAGCTAATTTGAAACAAATGAAAAAAAAAATTCTGTAACTAAATTTTTAGTCAGTAGTGAAATTAATATGAAATTAAAAAATAAACTTCTCAGTATTAGCATGATAAAATGTTAACTTTGTGTGATCACTACACATATTTAAACGGAACTTAATTACGCTAAGCTATCAGATGAGTTTAATTATACCAAGCTAATAGGTGTAATCATGGAGTCACGAAACGAAGAAGCATATATTAACACTGCAGAAGGAAGAAGCAAAAACATTAATAAAATTAAAAAACAGTAATAAGAGTGGGAAGACTTGTTGTTCCACGTCAAACTGACGACGGAAAGAGTCAACACAGTGCAACATTGATACCAAAGACGAAAATGAAACTGAAAGTGAAATGATGACAAATTTAGCAAGAAGAAAAAAAATAAAGAAAACGATCAGACTTCAACGGCACTCCTCTTTCACGCATACGCACACGAAAGCACAAACGCACGCGTGTGCGTTTGTACGCATACGTAGACAGAGAGAAGTTGAAAGATAGACAGATGGATAGATAAATAGGAGGAGTATTAGCTGGAGATAGAGGAAGCAGTTGGAATAGATAGAGAGAGGTAGAGGTGCGGGCTGTATGATAGAGCGATCTCTCTGTACTTGTGCTTCACTGCTGATTGCGTGGGTTGTAAGGTGATCGGGTGTGCAACACCTACGTGCAACTCTTTCTTTTTGCTACACCTGATCGAATCCACATCGCGTCATCATCCCACAAACATTTCGTTAAGACATTTATATTTTCCAGATTGCATTGATCACAAATAATATGATATGATATATTGATATAACCACCATTCCTCTCCAATTCCTCTTACCATCATTTCTCGTCTAATGAATTCACTTGAAAGTATGGCCCAGCCGTAGCTAACTGTAAATCTTTTCTCTTCAGAATTTCAAAAAGTTAATTTTCCGAATCCCTTTATTAGGTCAGGCTATTTATAACATTTTCCTCCATTTACTATTTTTGCTGATCAGGAAAAAAAATGACAAAAGAAAAGATAGGATCAAATTAAATCTCGCAAAATTTTTTAAAAATACAAATTTCATTTGAGATAAATTTTAAAAAATTCGAATTTTATTCAAGAAGTGGTCTCAATTAGAAGTGATCTCTTTTTGTTACGCTCATTGAAATTGCGATTGAAATTTATTCAATTATTTTTTTCAACCGAGAAAATGGAATTTTAAAGGAATTATTAGATATGTCCACATCATTTTGCTTATTTTGATAATCGACAGCGCAGTTGCTTCGATCGAGATGAGTTCCTCGATAAAGGAGAGGTAGTCATGAATGAATTTCAACTTTATTCCATTTTTTTTTGGTGTGCTGAATAACCGATTCATTGTATTAGAAAGATTTCATTTCTAAGACGGATTTAAATTAAAATTAAACATTATCGATGGGATGGAGATTTTTGAAAGCACAAATATCTAATTGGAAAGTATTTAAGTCCAAAATTTTTTTGCAGATAGAATTTCAATCATTAATTAGAATCCACTAAATCAAAGTTTGATGAAACTAATATGAGTGAAGAAAACTTTCCGATGCTTTTATAAAAAAAGAGTAGTAAAAATACAAAACAACATATTGGTGCAAATTTTGTTAATCTTATATACGAGAGGAAAATTTATGCTAGAAAAAAAAAACTTCAGAATAACTGATTGCTTCTTATTCATTGTATTTTTTTCTTTCATTTTTTTTCTATCATAGCTACTATTTCCAAAAATCTAGCAAGAAATTTCCGATGATTTCTTAACATATTAAATTCAGTGTGTTAAATTTCCTTCCGAATAATTTTTTCTTTTCTATCTTCCTCTCTCTCTCTCCAGTTTTACCCATACCAGAGAAAATCTTTTCATTCCTTACACTGTAATGTATTGAGCATCTTTAATCATCTAAAACACTATACATTTTTTTATTTATCATTTCATTAACAATGTTCACTTACAGAAAGTTACCGTCTAAGGGGTTGAAATCATGAAAAACTTTTAATTCGAAATAATCGATATACAGGGGTTATTGATGAAATACTGTTTGTTGTATTAATTGCAAAAAATGTGCGATATCATTGCTTTCTTCAATAAATGATAATATATAACCCCTGGCTAAAAATAAAATAGTTCTTGTTTAAAAAAACAAACGGAAAAAATTTTTCAATGAAATGACAATAAATAGAAGCTTTTGCGATAAAATGACTGATTGCCTTATTCAACTCAATTCATCGAGTGAAAAGGGGAAGGCTTAGATTTTAAAAGTGAAAATAGTCACGAGATTATTCAGAAAAAGCAAAAAATCCCTCAAATAATAGTTTTCTTTTTTCTTTTTTTTCTTGACAGAATGTTTTCCGTTTTTTATGTGCTTCGGGAAAATACTCAAGGAAATTTTCTGACTGCTCATTACTTTTGGCAGCAAAAGTTTATATGAATGAATAATAAAATGAAAAAACATACTTTTTTTAAAAAAAAGAAACGAAAAAAATAAATCTATTAAAAGAATGAAAAGACAGAGTAAAAAGAGACTTTATTGTAAAAAGCGAAGAACTGATAATGAAAAATCGTCCTCTTCTTTTTTTTGAACTTTTTTTAAGAAGGAGAGAGTTTCTGTAGTATTTTTTTTTTGTTGTTGTCCTTACTGCTTGATATATTTCTGTCAGTTTTAATAGAAGCACGGGAAGAAGGGAAAAAAACTTTTTTATTTTTATTTTTGTTTTCCAGAATGATTCTTGAAAAAAGCACCGAAGTTTTTTATTCCGTCGTTCCATCTTTTCTTAACCAAAAATAGCACGAAATTTAAACTTCTTATGTATAACAATTTTGCCTTCGGTTTTTTTGAAATGTTTTCTTTTTTTCTAAGAATCTTATTTTTTTAAATTACTTTTTAGAAAAAATGAAAAAGAAAGGAAAAAATTACACTGAAATCAGTAAATTTTGCGATAGAAATTTCAGAATTTCTTATTTTTCACTTGAACTATTTATATGGCAACATTTCCATGATGAAATTTGAACAAAATGGGAAAAATTTGCTCTCATTTCCAGCTGATTCAAGCTGTGAATAGAAAAATTTCTTCTTCTCATTCTGCTAAAAATAATTTTATTTATAAAATGCCTGGAAATAGATTGCTAAAAAATGCTTGCTAGGCAAGCTTATGAGATAATTTTGATGAATTTTTATTTAAAAAAATACTGTGTAAAAATTTTCTGTTCCGTAACAATTTACTTACTTTTAAAATTGCCTGCCTACTTTTGACCTTTTATTATTGTTATGGATGATTGATTAAATTAGGTTAGCACTTTTTCGAGAATTTTTAACAAGGTCATGCGATGGTACATTGAAAATAGATGTACTGAAAACTGTGGTAGAATTAATTTTCACATCGGATAAAAAATAAGAAAGAATTTGAAACTTTATCTAATATGAAGCTTTTATCTCAGTAAAATATGGATTAAGCTTACTTCACCAATATGTTACATCTTGATGACCGAAACATAGGAACAAATACGGCTTTTTCATGAGTGCATGCGACATTGCTGAATCTCACTGATTTTGAAGGAAAATTAAACTGGAAAATAATATTTATATTTTTATGTAAAGTGCATACAGTTCTTAAATTTTGTTTTATTTTTCTTACATGTAATAATAATTATCATTACTAATTGGGTGTTGAATAAAAAAAGCCAAAATTCTGCTTATTAAGTCGAATTTCCAGTAGCAACTTATAAAAGTTAAACTGCCAAGCTCAAAATGAAAAGTGCAGGGTGCAATAATCATTGTTGAGTTATAAAATGTTTATAGCAGCAGCTCAAAATACAATGAAAATACTGACAAAGAGATAAAATTGATAACATCACAAGCAAAGTATCGTGTTAAACTGCAACAATTTGCAAAATATTCGTTGAAAATTCGAAAGGTCAGCGTATTTTTATTCTTTTTCTGCGAACGGAATGAGAAAGTTTTTCTTCCTTTATATTTTTTTTCATCTTTCAAAATATGAAATGCAAACCAAAGAAATGTTTAGAAAAACTAATAAGCATGACAAATATTGCAGAAATTTCTCTAAAACATCAAATACTTTTTGGAACTCTTCAAAAAAAAAATTGTGCTGCTACATAGTATTTTATGATCTTTTTCAAATTTTTATTTTTTGAAACAAAAGGAAATTTCATAATCTTTAAAAGAATAATTCTAAATTTTATTCTAACTCACGCCTGTATATTTTTATTCTACCGTTATCTTAATTAGCATATGATAAACAGGAAGAAATAAAACAGATGCTTAAATGAGATTAATGCTTAAATTGTCTCTGAAAAATATCAATTCTTTGAGAATTCCTCTAAAACGGAAATTCTCCCATCTAACTTTCACCATTTATTTTATATAAGTAAGCATATACTTTACTTTTATATCACTTTACACACATCTCTTTCTCAGAGAATTCGTCTGCGCAAATTGGTCAAGAATAATTTGAGCATTTGGCGATGATGGCTTAATTGAAAATTTGGTGAAATTATTAATATTTGGTTACACAATAACAGTAATGAGGAAAAAAAAGAAGGACTAATAATTTCATTTTTTCGTTCTAAAAACATTCAAATATTTAAATTTTTAATTTAAATTCAAATTTAAAGCTATGGGAAATTGGTCATTCACCAAAATATATCAATTTATCAGCATACGATGGACATGCAGTGAAAATACTGATAAGATATATCCAGAATGAGGATCTGAAAAACATCAATTTATCATTTTACACACTCGCTGATCTGCTCGATTTATCGCGATCATTGCTAATGCTCCGCTTACTCAAGCAACTCGAACAGGTACGCCCTATTTTCTGCAACTTCTGCTCATCTATAACTTTCAAGTTACAAATTTAGGTATTATCACATAAGTTATATGGACACCGCGAAACATAACGGATATCATTATTTTAGAAACTATAAATAATTGGAAAAAACATTCAATAGCTAATTACTGTCGGCATCTAAACAACGGTGTTGACAGTAATAGAACGACAATTGCAATAATCCGACCTATTTTAATTACCACTTCTTAAATCTTAATGAGCAAAAAGTTAGAACTTTTAAGAATAAGAAACAATCCGTCAGCAAAAATTTTTAAGTGAATTAACTTTATTATGATAATGATGAGGAATGATGATAGGCTTCTTGAAAAAAACCCTACTTATAATTGTCACATTTGCTATTTTTTTGTTACATTTCCGAATATCACGTTTATATTCAAGTTACGGGATAAAAAATATTTTGATAGTGTGAAGTTTGTTAAGCATTGTTAAGCATTCGGAAGTTTAGAAATTATTGAATTATTGAACAATTCTCACTGTTCCTTCAATTTTTATTCCAAAATTTAAAACGTTTTGTTTATGAAAAATAAAAAGATGAAGTTAAATATGGATATTTTTGTTTAACTACTGTTACAAAGCTTCAGCTGAAAAGAAAATCCAAATTAAACTTCAAAATTGAATTTTTGAATGGTTTGAAAAAATAAATATTTAAGATTGTCATTGACATAAAAGTATTTGATCTATCGTCAAAATTGTTTTGTTATTTATTGAATCCTGGAATTTAAAAATTCTTTACAAATCAAGGTTTTAATAGAGAAATAAATTAGTCCTAACAACTTACAGTATCTTTTTTTAAAGATTCTTATTGGAATAGCATCGCAGAAGACGGATTCCCTTATTCAAGCTCTAATTATTGTTGGCAGTGATCGTTCAATTATCGGTGGTATAGCCGCTCGTCAAAAGATTGAAAAAATCGCAGCGGTGAAATTTCAAGATGTTGTGCAACATGAGCTTTTTGGTTGCATACCACCAATTGTTTTTGCAAATGTCATCGCCAGGTACTGTCAACTTTTCAAACAAGTTTTAACTTTGGTGACAATTTTCGAGACTCTCCGTTAGTAAAATATGTCAGGAAATGACTCATCCAATGCAAATTAATACTTATGTGACATCATAATTAAACTTTTCATATTAACAAAACAAGAAAGAAGCTATGCTTTTTACGATAGTGAAAAATAGAAATGCGAAAAATGAAATTTTTCCAAGATCTCATTTGCATATTTCGTGATGATGCTACCACTAATGTGCAAGTTTAATCAAAGTTTATTTTTTCAAGATATGATATGAAATTGTTTGTGCAGGTGCGATTTGAACGTTAACAATGAAATAGATGTGGTAGATGCTGGAATTGTATGGATTTGGCAGCAGAAAAAACCTCTCATTAGCAGTGCTTTAATTTTTTCTCGTATTCGCTCGGCACTTTTGAGCCGCGGTGATCGCAAAACCATCCAGCAATGTCTCAAGACTTTACCAAATGGAGAAAAAGTAAGAAACTTTTTTTTGTAAATATATAAATCTTAAATAGGATAATGTCTAGAAATATTCAAATTTGCTAATGCTCAGAGTTAAATATGTAATATTACATACATTTATACTTGTTATTTTATCATTCAAAACTTATAAGAATTTGTAAATAACAGTAGCACTTTGTTATTTTTTCAAAGACAGGGATAAATAGCAAGTACTAAACAATATTTAAATTTTAAGCTATTTTTGAAAATATCAGAATATCAGATGGAACAAGACTATTATCTCGTTTAACGCACCAGTTTTTATTAAAAGTAATTCAAAAAGACGATTTAGAGCACTAAAAGTATTGAAATATCCCGCATCATCTCAGAATAAATAATGACGAAAAATAATAGATGAAGTAATCGTGCCAGCCCGTCATAAAATTCTCGATATTTCAGATGATTCCATTCATTATGACTACATTGTCAAGCACATTTTCTCGCCGTTGTTGTGTTATCAAAGAGCACGTTGATAAACGGATGATACGCTGTGGTGTACCAAACCCATCCGATGATGTAACCATCAATCTTCACAAACTTCCCTTGTTAGTTAAATGTGCGATCTTATAAATTAAATAGAATTTGAAATTGGAAAGGTAATTTTACTTGTTTTTTAATGACATCATTCATTTCTCTTCTTTGCAAAATGTTCGGAAAGTTTTTTAAACGAAAATCGTGAAGTTTAAGCATAACTCCAAGTTTATTTATTCTCTTATCGATTTAAAAAATACCATTACTCTATCAAAAAGGGGGAAAATTTAAAACAAAGTTCAATTCTTAATCCATCAGGAACTACAGCTTTAGCAAATATTTTCACTCAAAATTCTCAGTTTTTTTTTTCAAATTTAAATCTGTGCTTATTTCAGATCAAGGAAATTTGCAATTAAGCAAGGTATGTTTCTTGAATTTAGCATATCATTTTTTTTTCTAGTACCACAGATTTGCATAGGCATCTTCTGTGTCGTATGGTACATCATATTTGGTTGAGTTCATGATCTTGGTTATTATGTTTGGTGATAATACTCACGGAAGTAATTTTGATTATTTCTAAAAATATATTTTTAGACAGTTGAAAATTTTACATTTGTTTTTATAAAAATATATTTTTAGAAAATTGAAAATTTTACATTTGTTTACATTTTTGGTATCATTTTAAAAAAAATGCAAATAATTGGAATCTTTGGTATCATTTAAAATGATTGGAAATCTGATTGATAAGCGGCGATTGATTATTTGTTTACTATTAATTGCGTTTATTAAACACCTTGCAAATTGGTACTCTCCCATAAACAAAATAAAGCACATGCTATGTTACCTGTCTAAATGATAGTGATAGACTCGACATGAATAAGTTGTAATTTGCAACGGCGAAAAAGTAGATGACAGCACTTCTCTACCAATTGCAACATTTTAGACGTATCGAAAAAGCTCTGATATCAAATTTTCAGGATTTTTTTCATAAATTGCTTTTTGAAAGCTATGTTGTTACACATAAAAATAATTATTTAAAAAAAAACAACTATTTCGATGATGTAATATACATTAAAAGTGATTTTTTGAATATTAATATAGTTTATATAATGGTCAGTTCCGTTAAACATTAATATATTTATACAAATTGATATTCTCCCATAATTACCTCATTATTAATGATATCTTTATAAATTATATGCAACTAACTTGTTTATCCCAAAATTAACAATCATTTATTAGATTACGCTACTACTAAATTGGTTAACTTATCGTAGTTCCATAAGCTACTATACATTGTATAAGTTTTTAGCATTATTGCTTCTTTATTAAAAAAAAACTTTAAAATTTGATAAATCAATTAGATAATATTTCTAAAAAAGACTAAATAAATCATATTTGTGTAGTGTCTACTTAATTTTAAATTATTTTTAACAAAAAAATTAAAAATTGACAAAATAAAAGACGCATGAATAGTTCTTCATTTTCATGATGGCAGTTTATCATAGCTTCGCTTCAAATAAATGACATTTGTAGAAGATAAGGAGAAACGAAAAAAAAGCAGCAAACGATCAGAAAAGACGGAAAAGTCCGAAAAGTTTAATTCTATTAAAAGAATTGGTGAGAAAATGAAAGCAAATTTGATTGGAAATGATAAGAAATCATCAAAATCTATTCGATCAACATCAGAATCATCAAAACTCGAGAAATCGAAGGTATATCAATAAGATGACACAAAACTGAATGGTTATCACGGTGTTTTCATCGTTTATCTAAATTAATTCATCAGAAACTATTAATCATAGCTGGGATTGTGCCCTCATTTTTCTGCTAAATTCTTTGTTTAAATATATTGCATATCTTTTTTTAATGTTTATTTTTATGACCCCTTGGATGATTCCACCAGGTTTCCGTAATAAATTCAGGAAAGGCTTTTTTATGTTAATAATTTATTAATTCAAAATATATTCTTTTCTCTTCATATTTACAATCATTTTTGGCAAAATTTTAACCAACGATATGTAAAATTTTTTAATTCTAATTCTGCATAATTTATAGACAAATCAAAAATCGGAAGAAAATATGCAAAGTAAAAGTACATGTCACAGTAAATGTAGTAAATCCGAAAAAAATGATTTAAAAAGGCGATCTAAAAAGCTTCGTAATGCTATACGTAAGAAAATCTACGATAAGAAACTTGAATCTGTATTGTAGAAAAAATCATAAAATATCGGATTTGAATAAATCATACAAACGTATAACAATAATTGCAAACTACTGATGTTAAAGTTCGCTAAATCATTTCATTATAAAAAGCAAACAGATAAATATTTCTTCAGAAGATGAATAAATGAAAAATTGAAGTGGCATGAATGCAATGAAACAAATTGAATGAATTGCACATATGCGCATACAAACAAACATATCGCTAACTTGCTAATTTTAAGTGATGAAATCCCGATAGCTTTTATTTCAGTTATGATTGTGATCAATGGTAAACTTTCCTTGTCCTATCACTTCAAATCACCACTTTTTATTTTCAAATCATCTAACTCCATTCTTTCTTACCAACTATGCTTTAAGTTTAAACTTTTGTAAAAAAAATGTATCGCAAAGTAATACAGAACGGATGAAAATAAAAAGAGGACTGTATTAGTGAATTATGAATGAATAAAAATTTCTCTCTTTTATTGATTCTAACAATATAAGTTTTCAAAAATTCCAAAAGGTTTAGCATTTTACTGCTTTATTTCTTTTATTTCTCTACTGTTTTTTTTTTAAATAAAAAAAGTGAATTCACTTCTAACTTTTTCCCTCCTTCTCATTGATCATTGTGCTTTTTCCGCTTTAAATCAATGATTGTAAATTTCTCAAAATGTTGGCAATAGAAATAGACAATATAAGACTATACGCCCAATCTCGGAGTCAGAGAGCTTTTATTTTAAAATAAGTGAGATTTAAGCGATGCAAGGAAATGCATAAAAGTGAGAGATTGCTTGATTTGAAGCTGTTTCATTAGTAATTTGAGATTAGCTTTTACATCATAAATTGTTGATGCGAATTGTTTTCTATTGTCATCTCAAATCTGAAGTTCTAAAAAAGTATTGTAAATGGAACTGGAAGGCTGTTATTGATACATTAGGATTTTAATTCCTATATGTTTCTAGTTATGTGATATTTTTCTGGTTATTTGATAATTAAAAGGCTCCTTCAAAGGGAATGTTACCTCTCAATGCCAAAAACTAAGATGTAATTTCTTTGTTAAATTATTTAAATTTAACTGAAATGAATTTTTTAAATAAATCATTTGAAACATTTGAAGTTTCTTCGTTTTGTTTTTTCAATGTCTGTTAACAATATCAGAGTTCAGTGATTACTTTTTGCGATAATCTAGCATGATTTGCTGTATATGCTTCTAAACCAATTCTTCTTGGCTATTTACACTCATTCTACCAATTATTGCTTTTAGTTTGAGTAACTTGTATTAAAAGGCTTGAGTTTACGAAGTTTATAATTATGTGATCCGTTTCGATTTTAACTTCCAGAAAAATTTGCGCTAATTTCTTTCAGTCTTATAGTCTGATGATGTATTCAACATCGGATTTATCTTCTTTATTAAAAGTGAAGGAGGTACAATGACGTTAATCAAACAACCAAATCAAAAAAAGAGCAGTTAGAGTTAGCCTTTTTGATTTATTTCATTCTATTTGAATACAGTAACTTCATTTAATATTGTCTTCTTGTTTTGATGTAATTTTTTCTGCAATATGTTCAGGAAGATAATTGAGATATTACGAAGTTAAAAAAATTTTTGTCCTTTGCTGTTAGGATAACAATACTGCAACCAATATGAATAGAATTAATTTGAAATGGTTTCGGATATTTCATTGTCACTGTCATTCTTTATTAATTTCGGTTTTGCATGCAAGGACACATTTTACGATATAACTAGCGAATCTCATTTATCTTGACATATTTTAAAAAAGCGGATAGATTCAATTAACTTATAACTTAAATAATTAAGTTAGAGCAAAGCTTTTTGTAATGAAATTCGATGAGAAAAAATTTTTTTGACAGTTGTTAAAAGCATAAAAATTTATTTCAATAAAAATGCGACAACTTTTCTTTCAACGAAGAGAAAGTCAGCTAACAGAAGAGATGTCACGTCGAAAAGACAAATTCATAAGTAAATAATTTTTAAACAATCAACCGCATATTTATTACATTAAATTTTTCATCAAAGGAAATTTAAATATGAATGAATATAATTGTTTTACGGTCAGTATGATGTTTACTTTTCTGAAATTTATATATGACATGAGATTAAGATCATCATATGGTCCTCATTTAATGTGATATACTATCATCAGACATAGCGTGTTGAATTGATTTTTATCAGCAAATTTTTGGGCATACTTTTTGGGCTTCAAATGTTGCATATGTGTGGAAGGAAATTTAGCATTATCCAATCTCTCTGTCCTTAAGAACTTTCAATCATTCCATTTCTGTCCCATTTTAGACATAATTATTATTCAATCATTGTTTCTTTGGTGGAAAGAAAGCAAACGAAGAAATTTTGAATTTCTGATTAATCAAAATTTTTTGCAAGTTTTTACTGAATTGCCATCAGAGATAAAGTAAAAATTAACAAATAATAATTCAGAGAAAGCAATTTTGTCAATCGTTATTTGCAAAAAAGTTGAAGGTATTTAGTTTAGGGGAACGGAGAACGACGGTTTTTTTAGTTTCAGGTTCCATAGTTTTTTAGTTTCAGATTCCATAGTTCCTTAAAAATTCATCGTTTATGTTATAACATACATAAAATGTGATTTTATGTATGTTATTTTAGTACTTATTGCTTTAGCTTTTCCCACTGATGATTTATTACTGTTGTTTAGCCTATTTTTAGATCTTAACAAGAAATAAAATTCAAATTGTTTTTTTGTTCTTTCAATAAATTCAAAATAAGTACAGAGGAATAAGAGCAATTCACAATATTGGCAATACTTTTTTTTAACTCATGAACTACCGACAATTTCTTCAAGATGAAGAGAACCTTGAAGACGAGAATAAAAATTTGTTAATTCGGTAATTCAATTATTAGAATTAACAATGATCATCCATGAGCAATTTTCAAAACTGATTCCTTACAACTATAAGCGCAATTATAGCAAACCTACTCACCCTCAATTATTCTGTATAATTATTTGCCTTCTGAAGAAAATTGAAAAAGTGAAAAAGTTCGATAAATAGATGTCTTATAAATTAATGACACCATTCTTAATTAAATCAAAACAAATCTCGGATGCATTTTTTCAGGACAAATTTGTTTCAGAAAAAAAAGAGTCATTGTTGTTTGATGGTGACTGATATCATAACTGTAAAAATTTTACCTAAAAAGATTTAATATTGAATCAGTCAGTATTGATCAAAAGAAATGGACCAATTCCTTCTTTTCGACAAAGTCACATTACCTTTTTTTCAATTATTCTAGCAGATTTGGCAATTTGCTAAATGCTGAAAGATGAATTTCCATGCTACATGAAGTAAACAAATTTATTTATTTTTGGCAGAAATGCATTGTTTGTTATGATTCCTATTTAAACCTAATTGTAGCAATTATTTAAAATTTATAATTTTTAGTTTTGTACTAACCTAATAAAATTAATGACGATTAATATAATACTCTGATAAATGCAAACAAACCATTATCATGAAACATATTTGTGACGTTTGCAATTCAGATGACATATCTGTATACATCTAATCCTGTTGCGAGACAGTAATTTTGGTAATTGCATTTTCAATTCTTTTTCAGTCTTATCACTAACACTAATGTGAGACATTTTTAAGAAAATCACTGGAGAAATTGTCAACAAGTTGATGATATTTGAAATACAGTTATAGTTAATAACTTCTTCCATAATGCGCAGATGGTTAATCCAGCGCAAACACTCTGCAAATATTCATTTGAATTTTGCATGATTCATTAAGCAAGAGAAACAAGTTATCAAAATTTAAATACATATTCAAAACATCAAAAACTTTCTATAGTCATGTTAATTAAGTTGATCAAATTCAAATTTATATTATTAACTAAACATGCGCGGATGTTCGAAGTGGCATTCGATTCTGAAAGGTTGTTTCATAGTTTGTTAGAATTGGATGTCGTGTTCTAACTTGCAAAAACCAGCACGTATAACAGAGAATCAACATTGAACAGCATGATAGAACAATTAGAAATGACACAAGCAATATCCATCTAAAAAAACATAAATTTATTCCGGAGATTAAATTATATTTCTCGACTTAGAGAATTCTAAAAGTGAACTTTCTCAAAGGATAAGAATGAATGATAGGATTTTTTATAGCAATGAAAAAGAATTATGATCAAACGTGAAGTTTTCAAAATTTCCATTTATTGATTTTAATTTTTTGTATAAATGTAACGACATTTCACATCTCCTCGATATTTTCAATTCATTCCATTAAAAAAAATGCGAAATAAGATCAAAACCAACATATTTAAGCAAATGCATCCAATTTTGATTTTGCTTAAATTCGAAAAGGAAAATTAAAAATAAGTACTTACGATAGAAAACGGCTGTCTATCGGTAGACATACATATTTATTTGAAAGACCATTGCAGAAATCAGCACGAAGACATTGCCATCCAGGACAACTCTCCTGACCTTAAATTTTGCCAGTTAATTTTTAGTGATTTTGGATTAAAATATCATAGTTCTAGGAGATCTCTGCAGCAACTTCTAATGAAATGCATACAGCGCTAATTTGTAAAGTTGACTTCTTTAGTCATTTTGATAAGCTTTAAATAGCAATGGGAAAAAATAAGATGCCTGCTTACAAGCCTTCAAATTATCGAAGCACACCTCCATTTCATCGAAAATTTTATCACCCATATAGAAATAAAAAAAAACCGAAACGTATTGCTCTATCCTGCAACTTATCACTTCATCGGATAGTCTTTTGAAAAAGAGTTCAATTATTTCATGCAGCATTTAAGTTGCAAATAAAGGAATGACACGACAACTTCCAACAGTTTGTTTAGTTTGCGTTGCTTGCAGTGTAATTGAATTTTTGGGGCATTCAAATGTTGCATAAAGAGCTGGAAGTTTTGTGATAATACATAATTTCAGGATAACTGATAAGCATCGTATTTAGCTGATTGAAGCAAGATGATACAAGGCATCAAGTATTGTATCAGGAAATAGCAAAGTCGCTGATAGTTAATTTAAAAAAAGAAAAGAAAAATTGAAATAAAAATTGAGAATAAAGTTGATCGAAATTTGCCAAAGCAATGAATAATTAGTAATGAACGTATAACTTTTCTGTGGGAGATGTTAAATTGATAATGTGAAATAAACGATAATGAAATGGAAGGAGAGTGATTGTCAGGCAAAAAAGAAAACAAAAATTTTGATGTCGACGGAAATATTTTTTCTCTAACTCAATAGAAACAAACCCGCTCACATTTTATGTCATTTTTGTCGCATCATTCTTTTTCTTTTTTTTAGTTTCTTCTTTCAAAATGTTTTGTTACAGAAAAGCAATTAGCAAAAAAATTGTTCAAAAATTGGTATTCTTTGGTCAATTTTCAAAATAGAAATATTCTATGCGAAGCAAGAAAAAGAAATCTTCGTCATAACTTATTTATACTTTATAACAGCACTTTCAGTTCCATTTTCCGATTACTGTCATCATCTTTCAATCTATTGATAAAGATTGGATTAAAACACAATTATCCAAACCCACTTATTAATTAAGAAAAGAACATTTTATTTATCATTAACTGAGCCGCTAGGCTATCATTTTTTACTTTTTTAAATTCTTATTTCTTGGAGAATCTTGTCTCTACTAAATTATCGTTATCGTCTTTCACAAAATTGTTGTCTGTAGTACGATTTGTTTCATCACAAGAATCTTCTTCTGTTACTTGGTATTGACTTTTTGATTTTATTTTAAGCGATTAAGCGATAAGCGATTTTATAAGAGATGCGATAGAAGTTTCAAGGAAGAAAGTGATTCTGTTCAAGGGAAAAAGATATGTATGTGTACACGGCCAATGAAGAGTAGCCTCTTGATTAGGCACTAGTTTGTAATTATATATTCATCAGCTGTATGAGATCAGTCAGTTAACCTCTGCTCTTTCTTGACTGACGAAGTTTTTAAGCATTTTGTCTCTTTCATTTCCATATAATTTCAATGTCTCGTTGAAGGCAGATGACTTATGGATGTTATTAGTATAATGAATGTTTATATCGGAGAAAGATAAGAATCTTTCGAAAATTTTAACTACCGATCTTTATTCCACCCTTTCTGCTTTTCAAAAAGTTCACCAATATGTATTTGTATTTTAGGATTCAATACTAGTTCATCTGGAAAACTTTCACTATTTCAACTATCAAAAAAAGCGAAAAAGATTTCTATCAACTGAAGGCATTGTTATTTCTTAAAATTATAAAATACTTTATCAGTTATTTTTAGAAACAATTTATTAAAACTTAATTAGGCTGAACATCACTTTATATCATTTGAAGTTGACGTTACTCTTCAAATATTCTTTGTGACCTTTTTTGTTTTGATCATTTTAAAACATTGTAAAATTGATTAACCACATTATTCCATCTTATTTAGACTGTTGTGCATGTAATTATAATTATAAAAATAATGTTATTATTAACATTAGTTACATTGAACAATATGAAACAATTAGCTTAAAGCCAGCGATTATGTCTTTCAGTTATCATCGAAATGAATCGCTTCATATAAGTCAATCATCTGTAGAAGGAAAAGAAAAAAGACAGAACTAGTTGATTGTAATGTTTTCACAAAGGATTCCTTTGAGTCTTTTTTCGCTTGCAATGCTTTCAATGCTTTTAAAATTCTTCTTTCTTTTAACTTTCATATCTTTTTAATTTTAAGAAAGTACAACTTCTTCATCTCAATCTTCTGTTCTTTTTGTATGTCCTGAAACTTTGAACTATCAATTTGAAGTTTTATGGATGAAGAAAGAACCGCTGCTATTCATAGGGGGAAAAAAATAGCGCTTCTTATCTTACCACACACGCTTTACTGAATTTTGGAATGGCATCAATTTCGATTGAATTACATCTTGTTAGTTGATCTTCAATTTTTGATTCCAATCATTTTCATTAATTTTATGTAGAATGAAATTTAAAAAAAAAACAAAAAATAAATCGCAAAAAAGGAAAAAATATTGTAAATGACATGGCATTATCATATTATCTATTATTTAAAATACTATTCCCCACTATATTTACCAATTTCTACAGCATTGGAAATCTTTCCCTCTTACACTTTCCAACGATACGTGCTTAATTAATATTACAACGTGCAAGATATCTCGATTAGACAAAGTACGTTTCTCCCACGTACACGCCAAGAGTTTAACATGAATGGGATAATTTGCTAAATGTTCTTATAGCTTTTGAATTCTTATAATTTTTTAAATCATTCAAGAAGCGCAAATTCTTTAAAATTCACCGAAAGTTTACTTTCCTCATTGAATTTGTTTTAATTAAAACATAATTTTAAAAAAAACAATAACTTCAATTTTACTGAAGCGAAACACTGTAATGCATTTTAAAAACCGAATTTTACAATGTAATTAAAAGTTTTGTGTAAACTGAATTGAATCTGAGTTGCTTGAAACATTACTATGTTAACTGTCAATTGTTAATGATAATATGATAGAAGAACGGATGAATTAATTGTTTGAAAGGTCAAAGGCTATCAACCATCTGATAACAATATGAGCAAATACTGCCACACACTAATAATAAGCCACAAATAGTGAATAACACATGAAAGTGCTTATATCACACTGGCAAGAAGCCAAGCGCACTGTGCGCATATGTGATGCGAAAAGTGAGAAGCGTAATAGAATCAAACAAAACGTACCATTTCTCGTTCTCTTTCGACAATTGACTAACTTGCGTGTATCAGTAGTCACGTAAGTAATCACTAAAAGTAATAAAGATTAGAGAGTAATAATGGGTATACCAAGAATAGACGATGATTCATTCACACGATGTGCAATTGTAATAGCCAGGAGTTGGTTGTTAAAGTAATTGCCGTGCGCTGTTCCATCTTCTTTCTCATTGTCATCCTTCCAGTCAACCAGTCCTTTTTTTCGAGCTTAATATCTTCTATTGATTTTGTTTTGTATAGTGTGAATTTCGAACGATCTAAAATGATCAATTAAAAAATTATTGAAGAGAGGAAATGTTGCTGATAGGAAAGAAGGAGAGAGAGATAGAGGAAGTAGGAAGTTATTTTTATTTATTCTGTTCTAACTACGTAAGAGAGAGTCAACTGCAAGTTGAAATTTTAAAAAGATGAAAGGTAGCAAATGAATGTGTAGTACAATGCTAGTGAGAGAGAGAGAGAGAAAGAGAGAGAGAAAGAGAGAGAGAAAGAGAGAGAGTGATATCAAAAGAATTAGCAATGTGTTTATGACGCGCTATCAATGAAAAAAAAAAATTTTAAGAGGCTTATAGGAAAGGATGAAAAGCCTAATGATATCTGCAAGGCTTTATTTTGAAAGAGATTTGATGAAACAAAAGATGTCAATAATTGCAATAATAAAAGATTATTATTTGAGGGATGGAAATATCGGATGATACGTTCTCTCAGCGGACTCGATTGAGACAGTTTGAATTAATCGTGGAGAAGAAAAGTATTTTCGTAAATGCTCACTATCTAGCGGAATTGTCGCCTTATTTCAAAATGCTCTGTTTTGAAGATACATTTCGGTAAATCATCTTTTTTATTGCGATTAATGTAATATGGCTTTACTTTAGCAGCAAAGCTAATTAGTAGAAAATAGAGCTGGAAAAAATGAGTCATATCCTTACAGGGACAACTAGATAGAACTCGGGATTGATTCGAGATCGTAAAATATATAGTTGCAGTTAAAAATGTTTCCATTTAGTTTCGTGATTTTCATACGTTTGGAGATTTTAGTGACAGTCGTTTAATCCCTTTACGAAAGAGTTGCGAAGTCTGATTTCCGTAGTCTTTTAAATAGATTCAAATAGATTTTTTTCAATTACAGGGAAGCTCAGAATGGTCGAGCTGAGATAGAAGATGAAGCGTATGATGAAGTTATTGAATTACTTCGCTTTATATGTCCCAACGATGATTATGTTATCAATAAAAGTATTACGGGTATGATTCTTGCAAATTTCACCATGTTTGAGGTTTGTGAAATTCTGTTAATTTTTCCAAAAGCATTATTTTTGGCAAGTAGCGGTAGCTCAGTTTGAGAGAAGTTATAAATTTTCTTGAAAATTGACTTTTTGGTTTCTATGTCTTTATCCATCACATGAACTGATTCAAAAACATTATTTGTATGTTGGAGGTTTTCGATACATTCTGAAACAAGATTTTTCATGTGAAATTTCATTTTTGCATTTTTTTAGAAACCAATTTTCCCTTGCTAGCACATTTCTCAAGCCTGATGCAGTTACGAGATTTACGGCGTCAGCTTGAAAGTTACGTTCAAAATGAAGTTCGTATGGAGAAATACAAACCAAGAGATGAAAATTTATTGGAAATGATCGTTGAAGCAATGAATGCTTCTTTTCCACCAAGCCTTATGGATATCATGTATCAAAAGTTGGCTCGAATTGATTTGGATCATGTTAAGGCTGTAAGATTTTTATGACTTACTTCTGGTATAGTTTAGTTATTACTTTAAGAGTCTTGAAAGCATTTTAAACTACATTTTGTCATAGGATTAGCGGAATCATTTAATGAGTTCGGAAAAACACTCTATATCTGTGTTTCAGCTTATCAAAGATCTCCCAAATCGATATTCGCAAGCAATATTAGAAGGTGTTCAAAAATTCGTAAGCTCATCCTTCTTTTTTTCACATTTTTGAAATATAAAGATAATAATCTTTCGGATTAATTTAAAATGGATTGAAACGGATCTTTCGTTCTGATATCACAGTTTCTTTTGCAGTTTCGCGTTTATCCTATGCAGTTACCATATCGATCTTCTTACAATTATGATCAATTCCAGCAGAGAATTTTTTAGGAAAAATTTCTCAAATTGCAAGTATGTTGAAAAACTTTTTGCACAGAAAGCATATTTTAAACGTTTCTTTTTGATCTATTAATTATTCAGTGTATCTAAACAATTACATTGTAGCAATGATATTTTGCACTGTTTCATTCAAAAAGCTGCAAAATATCCCACTAGCCAATCATCTTGTTTTTTATCTGTATCTGATTTAAAAACTTCTTTTCTGTTTTTTACGAACTCATTTTTTCTTCATCCATGTCTTCTGGTGCTTTGTTATTCGCTACACATACAAATTTTCGGAAATTTTCATATTCTCTTTTATGTTCTTGATCATATCTAATTTTACTTGCTCGATGTTACTGTTTCCATTTGAAATTCGTGGAATCTCGGAAGTTTCAGCTGTTGTTTGCTTTTAAATTTCTAAGTTTATTCTCGTTACAGGTTCTTATTAGTCAGCTGGAATTTCTAAATTTTTGAGATACTCCTGGATCTTGTGTGCATTTGTGAAATACTCGTTTTTATCTTCCATGATATTATAATTTTAGAGTTTCAATTCGCAACAAAAATTTATGAAATTTATGATTTTTAATTCGAAGTATTTCAAAAATTGGTTAGAAGGGATAAAATTTTGTATGATTGCTGTTCGTTATTTCTAATTATTATTATTACTATTTCAATATTTTTGATTATTACCTTGGTATTATCGCTACCATATATCAATTTCCTGTGCTTGTTGCAATTTCATTTTGGTTTAGTTAATTTTTCGTACATTCAATATAATCTTGTCCTATTTGATTTGCTGAAATCCATTTTTCATTAGTACTCTTTTGTTACTTTTTGAATATGTGCTATTAGAAATTTTATCTCTTTTTGTAAATCAAATGCAAAGTTTTTTTAAATTATTTAGGATGAATTAACCATGCTATTTTCAATGATTTTTTTTTTTTTGTTGTTTAATAATATTACATTTTTTTGCCCTTTACTTACACAGATCTTAAAATGGTTGTGCTACATGAATATTACGATATTTTTGTTGAGCACCGTGCATCTCTGGATAGCACACCAAAAATAGAAGATCTCTGTACAGTTTCCGATTTGAGTCATAAATGGAGCTTTAAAAACTTATAGAGTTTTTGAAAGTGGTCATTTCTATGATATCAAGACTATGGCGCTAAAAGTGTAGTAGATTTAAGTATTCAAATCAAACATCCTGATCACGCAGTACCCAACATATCAATATATCAGATTCTGAGCATTATCAAATATCATATGAATTAAGAGGTTAAACTTTTATAATTTTTGCATTCTAATGGTTTCATTCTTTTTTCAAATCATCAAGAATGGATGGCAGAATTTGTGGGGAAGATATCATTAAAAACTAGAATTCAAATAAATAAACAAAACTATGAAATCAACTGATCATTGTTAGCGTTTGATTTTGTAATTTCTTTAGTTTTAAAAATTGCATGAAATGAAAATTAACTTGTGGTCATCACAACAATATTTAATTCTCAGATCCAAAAAGCTTCGGTTATTTGTTTATATGAGTTGAGGATGAGTGGATGCATTAAATTCTTACGAGAAATTGTAAATAATGTCCCAAATAGCGGTCGTAAAATAGCAACTGAGCATGTACTTTCAAACATCACCTATCTTTTCCGCTGGACTATACCAATTGTTCGACCCGCTGGTTTGTTATTTTACTTGATTAAATTAATTACTTTAATTAACTAGTTTAGTGATTATTTTAATTGTTTGACTTCTTTGTTTCTGAAGATTGATTTGCTTAATTTCAAGCATCATTACTACGTTCCGATGGACATAACATTTGCAAAAGTCGCTTTTTAATCATAGCTTTCCAATGCGGTTTAAAGAAAGAATAATTTCTTTTTGCAGAGAATATAGCCATATTCAAAAAAATTTCGCCACAATTAATTAAAGACTGCATGGAATTTGCATTTTTAGGTGCCTCATTTTTCCAACAAACACATTTTTATACAACATACGAAGCATTTGCTTACGAATGGTGTGTGAACAGCGTTACTTTCATTTAAACTCGTTTGAAATAGATTTTAAAATATTGAAAATAATAATAAAACAGTAATATATTTAATACAATGTGTTTTGTTTAGTTGAAAAACTTGCGCGGAAGCTCTGCTCGACTTTTTAATTCACAATATCTAATCGTGTCAAAGACAGTTTGTGAGATCAAAATGGAAATTGAATTCATCTCAATTTCATTGAGTGTTATGCAATTTTCAGGACAATTAACTTCATAGGATCACCACAGTGGCCAGAAATGAAGACAGTCTGGAGATTATTTCTCGATCACTGTAAAGTATTTAATCAACCAACTCCATTAGCAATAGTATTTAAGTTGCAGTTGGTAAAAGGTGAAGAATGTTGTGAGTTATTTTCATCACTTAAAAGTTAATCATTTAAGTTAAAAAGAATGAAAGTTTTTCAAAGCAGAGAACATAAAATTAGTAAATAAGGAAGAAATTTTTAAATCACAGAAAAAATTAAGCAAATACATGGATGAATTTTAAACTGACTCATTTTATTATTTAAATTAAAATTGGGATAAAAAAAATTACAGCACCACAAATTGCATCAGTACCGGATGCATATCATTCAACATTTTTTTCCAACGGAAATTACCGCCTTTTTGAGGGGAATCCGCTACTCACTTTACTCACAGAAGGTTGTTTTGAAATTAGAAATAAAGATTTTTTTTTGAAAATTAAACAATTTAAAGGAATGGATTTCCCCAAATTTTTTCACCCTTACATTTCATTAAAGTTTCTTATCAATATCTCGTAGGCATTTGTTCAGCCTTCGATATACATTCACGATGGCAAGGTGGTCGTGCAATGCTGACCGTTGAAATGAGTTTTGCGGCTAGTGATTTTCAAATACAGCTGAATGAAACTTTACCAATACAGTCATTGCTGAAAGATGGCGATTTCCGAAAGAAACTTAAAGACATTCACGATAATATTGCACCGTAAGTTTAGCAATAAAAAATTTCGAGCTCTTTTTTTATAAATAAATGAATAAAATGCAAATTAAGTTGATAACATGGAATATGAATGCAAATAATAAAATAAGTAAGGCTAAAATTTGCTGTTCCACAAATTGAAGTTATTTGTCAAAGTATTCAATAAAAGTGTTTCAAACATAGGCTTTTCAAGAATCATGTGGATTAGTGAATTTATGAAATTGAGCTTTTAATTGCTCTTTCCGGATGACCGCTGGATAAGAATAAATAGCTACAAATCATTTCCTAATTCAAATTAATAAACTTTATCTTAGTCATATTCAAAACAGAAAAGAAAATGATTGATGCAACCTATTAAAGATAGCAGCGGGAGGAAGGAGTATGAAAAATTTGATAAATGCATTCCCAAGAGGTCAAGTTATTTCAATTCATCATGAGCTGATGTTAAACAAGTTATCATTGATGCTATGTGAAATCATAAAAATACCTAAACTTTAATAATAAATGAGGTGAAAGAAAATAAACCGCGGAATACCGGTCTAAAACGAAGAAACCAAGAATTCAAGTTTACTTTAGTATTGTGGTAGAGCAGTGCATTAAGAATCATGCACTCTTGATGCCTTCTGTATTAGAAAATTAAGTACTCGCTTATTTGGTAGGACTGACAAACAATTCTGAAAATCTTCAAGTTTTTTTAGCTTCTTTTGAACAATTTTTTCCCTGAATAGAAATGTTGAGCGATAGCAGATATTTTTAGCTACATTTAAATTGAAAACATTTTCATTTGTTAAGTTTCACTTTGCACTGAAGGTTGCACTTCCGCTACTTTAATTTTTCACATGAAAGGAAATTTTTCAAAATTTCGAATGACATTAATTTATAGAGATTTCATATTCAAAACATTGGATGGTGAAATTCAATCATATAAGAGTTTATTGTATATATCGTCACCGTATTTCCGCGATTTGTTCAACTCCGATAATATTACATTAAATCAAATCACCCTTAATTATAGACGTGAAGCTGTTCTACAGGTTTCTTGTCTTTCGATCACTAGTTTTATAAAAATTAACCTACAGAAAAATCGGATCCAAGTTTTAATGAACAGAGAACATAACAGAAAGGACAATATTTATTAAAAATATGCTTTCAGTCTCATTTAGATAGTACTTGAAGAATTAGTAAGCAACTAGAACGAAACATATAATTAGTATAATTAAGTGGTTCATTATAATTATTCGATTGTATGATATAATACATTTTTAATATGTACATAGCTGCAAGTTGAATATGATCTTATAGGACTGCCTGAAGGAGATAAAAATACCGATCATTATCATGTTATTTTGTTTAAATCATCCAATCGGTTGATGATATTGTTGAATTTGTTATTAAATAACTAATAAACATTTCTTTAAGACCCTGTCCTACATGATCTTTGGCGTATTTGAATCATCCGAAATAGTTGATTCGGAATTGATACCACAAATGCTGAAATGTGCCAAACAATTCCAATTACGAATGACCCAATTTGATGATGATATTGGACGAGTGCTAATATTTCAACTTTTAAAAGTAAATTGATCAGGATTTTAACGACTTTGCAATTTTATAAGCTACAAGATAGATTCGTAGATAGACGAGATGATTGTTCCATGAATAACTATCACAATTGTATCAAATATGCAGAATTTGGATAATTTGGATAAAATAATCAAAATTTTATCGTTAACTCATCGACAACAATCGTATTATCAGGTGAAGCGAATGTGCATTGCGATGATTGTTGAGAAGCATTATCGAAGATTTGTGTTTGTTTTGGTTCTCATATTGTTAAGGAATAGTACTTTTGATGAAACTAAATCATCACGAGCCTAATGATAATCCATTTCCTCTTTTTCGATCAAAATTTAATCGAAATTTTTTGATGTTTCGAAATCGATGAGAGAAAAGCTTTTAATAGAAATGCTTAATTGAGAATATATATAATAATTTGCACTATTCCGATAGGATTAAACAATTCCAATTACGAATGATTTCGAATGTAATATGATTTTTCTACAGTACCAAATTTCAGCCAAGAATATAATAGTGATGCAGTTGGTGAGAAATTGGATATTTTTGAACGCTTGTCATCAGCGACAGTGCCCAGTTTATCACCAGTTAATCGTATACATAGCATATATCGAGGTACCACAGCATGTCAACGAATATTACATTATAAAAAATATAGCAGTAAATAACACTGTAATATTTTATCTCTTTTGTTGATATGTACAAAAATTAGAGAATATCTAAATTATTTTCGATCAGATGATTTGTGATGCATATGCTTGATACCTGAAGTTTCTAGATAATACCTTGTCCTTCATTAAAGATTCTGTTGATCTGTCCTTCAGTGAGATGAATTTCATCTGTCATTATGGCACCGAGTTTTTCCATTTAGTAAGCTCTTTGTTCCTTTCATTGATATAGTAATGATTTGAAAAATCGCTACAAAAGCACAACTGATATGGAACTGATTAACTGCAATGGAATACATTGTTGTGATTTCGACTATTCGTTTTTAGTACCAAAACAAGAGAGTGAACTAGAAAAGCCTAAATTAATGGACTGTATTAATTTCTGTTTTCTAGTAGCTCAATTTGTGTTTTCTAGTAGCTGTGTTTTCTAGGAGCTTAAAGAATAACGGACCGTATTGATCTACATTTTTTTTAGTAGCTCTGATTTCGAAAAAATCAGTTTGCAAAGTTCAAAGGGGTAAACTATAGAATGAGTGTATGCATCGATCACTAGAATCCTATCATATTAATTAGCTGAGTATTGCTGACAAACCAACTTGTTTTACTTAATAAATTGTAATCACTGTTTTAATCATTGCGGAGTCTATTCTCGGTCCCGCAGAAGAACGTAATACGAGTTGTTTGGCGTGTAATTAGAATTAGTGCTACCATCTCTTATCCAAATAGTGATAATATGCGTAAAATTTATCATTTTGATGGTACTTCGATGTTACTTCGCAGTAAAATAGCATTGGTGCTTCATGTAATTAGCATCTTTGGTAGCTTGGGGACTGGAAATTTGTTCAAATTTAATTAGTGAAGGATGAATATATTTAATGACTAATTTTTCTATTATGATTTGACGGTAATAATGCTGAGAGTATTTTAAAATTGTTTTAAACATTATTATCTAACATAACTAGTTAAAAGAATTTTTACCGTGCGTACTTACTTGATAACGAAGGTAAAAAGAATAAACGATTATAGAATGGTCATTAGTATTATTTATACTAAATAATTATGTTTCCTCTTTTAAAAAAAAATTTTAAAAAGATAAAAAATAACAAATCCGACAATTTGAAAAACTAACAATTGAAGATTTTGAGAACTCCGAAATTTCAAAAAATTGAAGCAAGGAATCGTAAAAATAGTTGCAAAAAAAATTAAGCAGATGATCGCTAGTGATTAATAAAAAAATTTTCGTGAATCGAAAAAAAGTAAGAGAGTTCGTTCGAGGATTCTGGAAAGATCAGTCTGAAAGCATTCCATTACTGTACGGTCTGATGTATTCTTTTCAGATAACATCAGTTGAATATTGATCCAAGTATGCAAAATTTTTATAATTGGTTCTTGTATTAAAGCTCCAGAAATTCATTTTTGTTGTAAATTACCAAAATATCAGTATTCTAATAAATAATGTTCATGAAAATATTTGTTTCAATTAAGAAAACTTTATTACCTTCAAATGAATTTTCCAGAGTACACAAATTTGAATTTCAATTTATAATCTATCAAATGATAATTGGAAAATAATTCAGACCTAACGGTTTAGATCTGAGAACACTCGCTGATTACTTCTCAATTATCAAAAAATAAAAAACGAAAAAAACAATTTGATACTTCCGTCAATTGAAATCATGGATGAGAAAACCAGAAGGCTTGCATGAAACATAAATAATACAATGTACAGCTAATAAAATTTAAAAATTTTTGAATCGATGTTTTTCATTAATTAATTTTCTTGTAAAATGCATTTTCTGAGAATAATGTGACCTTAACCATGAGAAGAGACAAGTCCAAGGAGGGCGGAAGGGATGGGAGTCTTCCTAATTGCTTGGTCTATCCAACATATCCGCTGTTTATCACTTAAACACACTATCATTTTAATTTCCTGAGCAAGTACTGAGATAGAAACAATTCTTCAGTACAGCTCTCTAGCCCAGCCGATTGAAAAAAAGTATGAGGATGCTGGAAAGATCAGTCTGAAAGCATTCCATCATTCTATAAGTAGATTTGGAAATAAGCCGAAATTCCATGTTAAGATTTTTACTCATAAAATGAGCAAAAATTAACTAGCAGGTAATATCCACCAATCAGCAGGCAGTCAGCCGAACAAATATTCTGATTATAAATAAGATAAAATGTCATCTGGAATAACTTAATATGCGAAATCAGTTGTTTAAGTAACAACCTCATTTACTTCTTATCAATTCATTGCTAGCGAGCAACTGGCAGCTGGTATTTAGCGAGGATTAGGATAGTGGAATAAAGGGAACCGTGGATAAGAGGATAATGCTCGATTAGAAGGTTTGGTAGGTAAAAGATAATTTTCGACTTATGATAATTTTGTAATTATTAGTACGTATTATTTCATCATTTGTGAACTTTCCGTAACTCATCCTTTCAAATTCATATTCAGCATGTATTTAAACTTTTAAACGGTTTCTTTGTTCCAAATCAAAAAAATTCAGATCGTTCGATGCGCTAACAAGATAACGATAAAATTCATAAATTGAGGAATGTTCGGAAAATCCAGAATACCACTCCTTTACTTTCAACTCTTTTTGGTATTTCGATTTAATTAGGTTTAATCTTATTTTTGCATTAATATTTTCAATGTTGTAGAGAGTTACTTGGCGAGTATTGTATTATTAACTTAATTATTAACTTAATACAATACTCGCCAAGTAACTCTCTACAACATAAAAAATATTAATGCAAAAATAAGATTAAACCTAATATGAAAAAATAATATGTGAAGATGCCAAGGAAAAGA